TACTAAAGTTGTTAATAGATATAATGAACTTGTTAATCACTATACGAAAGTTGTAAAATTTTCCATTCATGATTATACAACCTATCTCTCCTAGTTCTAACAAGCCCTGACATGAAGTGGGCAATGGCTATATATGAGTTGTTAATAATTATACTGAAGTTATAAAATTACCTATTTTTGCATTTCCTCCAATTCCTATTATTAAAGGCGATACTAAAGTTGTTAATAGAAATAATGAACTTATTAACCGCTATACGAAAGTTGTAAAATTTCCCATTCATGGTTATACAACCCATCTCTCCTAGTTCTAACAAGCTCTGATATGAAGTGGTTAATGACTATACTGAAGTTGTTAACAGCATCACTGAAGTTGTTAAATTAGCCATTTTTGCATTTCCTCAAATTCCTGTTGTTAAAGACAATACTAAAGTTGTTAATAAAGATAATAAACTTGTTAACTGCTATATGATAATTGTAAAATTCTCCATTCATGATTATACAACCTATCTCTCCCAGTTCTAACAAGCTCTGATATGAAGTGGTTAATGGCTATACATGAGTTGTTAATAGTTATATTGAAGTTATAAAATTAGCTATTTTTGCATTTCCTCGAATTTCTATTGTTAAAGGTGATACTGAAGTTGTTCATAGAGATAATGAATTTATTAACTATTATACGATAATTGTAAAATTCCCTATTTATGATTATACAATCTATCTCTCCCAATTCTAACAAGTTCTTATATGAAGTGGTTAGTGGCTATACATAAGTTGTTAATAGTTATATTGAAGTTGTAAAATTAGCTATTTTTGCATTTTCTCGAATTCCTCTTGTTAAAGGCAATATTGAAGTTGTTAACAGAGATAATGAACTTGTCAGCCGCTATACGAGAGTTGTGAAATTCCCCATCCATGATTATACAACCTATCTCTCCCAGTTCTAACAAGCTCTGATATGAAATGGTTAATGACTATACATGAGTTGTTAATAGTTATACTGAAGTTGTAAAATTAGCCATTTTTACATTTCCTCGAATTACTATTTTTAAAGCGATACTGAAATTGTTAATAAAGATACTGAACTTGTTTATCTCTATACGACAGTTGTAAAATTTTCCATTTATGATTATACAACTTATCTCTCCCAGTTCTAACAAGCTCTGATATGAGGTGGTTAATGGCTACATAGGAGTTATTAATAGTTATAGTGAAATTGTTAACAATGTCAATGAAATTGTAAAAATGACCATTTTTGCATTTCCTTAAATTCCTGTTGTTAAGGTGATATTGAAGTTGTTAATAGAGATAATGAATTTGTTAACCAATATATGACAATTGTTAATAGAGATAATAAACATTAACAAAACTTTTATAGTGAACATTAACAGAACATTAACAAAACATTAATAATGAACTTGTTAAACGCTATACAAGAGTTGTGAAATTCCCCATTCATGCTATCTCTCCTAGTTCTAACAAGTTCTGATATGAGGTGGTTAATAGCTATATAGGAGTTATTAATAGTTATAGTAAAGTTATTAACAGTATCACTGAAGTTGTAAAAATAACCATTTTTGTATTTCCTTAAATTCCTGTTGTTAAAGGTGATACGGAAGTTGTTAATAGAGATAATGAACTTGTTAACCAGCATATGACAGTTGTTAATAGAGATCATAATGAACATTAACAAAACTTTTATAGTGAATAAGTAGGGCGCTTTTGCATTGCAACTTCTATAGTAATTAATAACACATTTAAAGCAAATAACATGTTTAGTAATGGCATTTTCCACAAGCCAGAGCCTCACTGACAGTATTTACATAATATACAATCAATGACAAGCTTTCATGCCACAACCATTACATCAATTTCAAACTATTCTAATATCATTGACCTTAGATCTTTAAGTCTTATCTCTTCTTTTATAATTTTTACTCTCACATTCTAGCCTACAATAAAGAAAAAAAATTCTTCACAATATCAGTTCTCTAACAAAGTTATTTCATCAATTTTCAAAATCAACCCAATATAATCACTTTCTGCATTAACAACTTTGCTATAGCGTTTTACAATTACACTTTCACTATTAACCACACAGTTAACGAATTATTACTGTTCATATTTAGACTTTCCATCTGCAGAGTCATCACTGAGCTTCTTCAAAATTTTTCAAACTTACCCAGAACCCAAACCCTGTCCAGCACTAACTAAGCCAAATGTTTAAATTTCTAAACGTTTACACACCTAAAAAACAGAAGAACCAACGCCCAAGTTGAAGAATCTTCAAATTTCGTAATGCCGCACTTCAGCTCCGTCTGAATCTTTGATTACCCAGAACCCAAAACCATTAAAATGAAAAAATAGAACACCATATTGACACTAAGAGAATGAAAAAAGTCATATGATTTCGAAAAAACATTTACACTTTCGAACCAGTACCTTCTCCTTACCTTCAATCTAGCATTGTGCATGTTCTCTATTTTTTCCTCCCTACCAGACTTCATCTGATGCAAGTGAATGTGGTTTTCACGTTTCGTAATTGATAAGGGCAGTTTGGTCATTCTATTTAACTTGGAAATCCTAATTTCGTCTGAAGTGATGAAAATGGGATTTGCCTTATTCAAGTGATAATTTGGGGATTTCCAAGTTTATATGTCATTTTTATGTTATTTTCCCATAATAGGTTTTACCTTAATTAGATCATACATTAAGGACGAGAAGATTATATCTAATTTATGCACTTAACAAAAAATATCTTACTACTCTTGATATTTAATATAAGAGCTAGTTGATTAATTTGATTAGATTAAGAAAGTTTGTTAAGTTAGTTATTTGTAATAAATAGGTATTATCTTTCTTAAAATACCCTTACTAATCATATATATTAGCCAGAATTACCATTTGATAGAATATTTAACGCATGCAACTATTACAATAAATATTTTGAAAAAAAACAACTATGCTGATTGGGGTTTTATATTTAAAATCAAATTAAAAGTCAAACTAATTTTTATATAAATGATTGGAGGTAGTATATAGTAATGTATAATAGCCCTCCATCTCAATATAAGAATTACTTAGCTAATCTCAATGAATTAAAGAAATTAATTAAGTTAACAAATATGAGTTGATTTTTCAAAATTATCTTTTTAATCATCATACTCTTAGATGGAAACCTATTATTATGTATAATCAATAGAAATATTTTAAAAAAAATTATAAATTTAAAAAACAAATTGGATCCACATCTTATATTTATACCTACAACCAAACATAGGGCCTATTTGTAAGAGCGTTTTAATGGGTAATCGTACTATGCTAATAACAAACCGTGCGATTGATGAAATTTGATTGTTTGTATTGGCGATAGAGAGATCATGCTTTTCCATCAAAAGCCAGTATAAGTCATAAGTAAAAATTTGCTACTTATGACTTTTCAATCATGGAGAGAGAGAAAATTAGAGTTGGTGAGTAATGTTAAACGGTGGAGAGAGCAGTTAAAAAAGAGTTGAGTTTCACATTTAATGAAGGGAAAATTAGAATAGAGGACCTAAGGAGTATAATATTTATTATGGAGGATCTTTAAAATCCTAATTACTTAGAAAGACCAAAAAATAAAATATAAATATACTAATACTAAACTAGCCCTAATAAACTTCCTTATGCTCCCTCTAACCACATCTCAATTACTTGATAATTAGTAGCCAAAAAAATAGGGAAGCACTCTATTATCATCGATTTTTATTACTTTTTTATTCAAGCTATACATTATAAAAATTGTACAATATAGTTATATACAATAATGTCCACTTAAATTTGATCACTAAAAGTTAATAGTTTGGGTTCTGATTTCTTTTTACAAAAACCCAAATTTTATATACGAACCTAATTTTATTTTTTTCTATAATATTAAATTAGAAGCAGTGTTTCAAAAAAAATTATATTAAATTAATTTAAATTTTTCATAAAAATTTATGCATGTTGAAATATGTTATAAAAAATAATTTTGATTTTGATTTTGATTAAAATAATAAAAATAATTATTATTAATTATTTTGCAAATTTTATATATCTTTGTATGTCTATATATTTTTATCAACATTTTCACTCATTTACAGATAAAAATTACTTAATCTAATTTTTAAAATAATTAAATATATAATTTTTTTATTATAATATATTCAATAGGACGAATGGGGTTGAGAAAAAAATGGAAAAGAAAATTTTGCCCTCATCATAGTGGCTGAAGAAAACTTTATTTTTGGTTAAAAATTTTGAGTGCGTTTTGTTTCCGATAAATAAAAATAGTATAGATATTAATGGTAACTGTCAAATATTTAAGATATGGTTAGTGGAAATAGAGGTGATTTAATTAGGAACAATTTGGTATTTACATATTTATATTTTTATTTATGGTCCTTCTAAATAATTATAATTTTTAAGATCTTTTATAAGAAATATAACTTTTTTCCGGTCCTTCTCTCTAATTTTCCCTTTAATGAATTTATCATTCTATCTAATTTTCATTATAATCTTCAAACAATTAATTTATAAATAATAAAAAATTAGTTAAAATTAATTGAAAATAATAAAGAGGTTACAAATATACTTCTGATTTCAAGTACTCCTACGGTCTTATTTATAAGCTAGAAAAAGAATTTTTTTTATCTTATTTATAAGTCATCTCATTAAATTTTTAATATAAATGTACTATTTTACCTTTTATTTATTATAGTGTAAATGATTATTTTTTTAATAATAATCCGCTTTTACAAACTAATTTATTTATAAAAAGTTAATCCAAATATAAATCACATTACTCAATCTAATTTTTATTTAATGTAATTTTTTCAAAAATCAAATTAAAAATAAGTTATTTTTTTGTGTCACTGCAAACGGACCATAGTCTCCATCCAACTAGCTTTTGCGAGGAAATGGTATGGATATACTCCTCAGTGAGGTCACATTCCCCACTGACCATCATCTACCCAATGGTGCATAAGAAATTGTCACTTTTTGTGGAATGTGCACCTTGCTGTTAAGCTGGCTCGAGCGACTTCACTGCATTGATGCTGCATTTGATCAAGCTTGTGTGTCGCATCTCCCCCAGAAATTGTCACGTGATCCATCTTTCTACTTCCAATGCACAACCCAAAGCCAAAAATATTTTTGAACAAATACATTCTCTTTCCATACAGGGTAACCTTCATGAAGCTCTCTCACTTTTTTACACCTGCAACATACCCATTGGCTCGTCTTTGTCTCGTCAAACCTGTGCCACTTTGTTTCATGCCTGTGCACGCCATAAGTATCTCCCTGGAGGCACGGGTCTGCATCATTACTTACTTGAGAGAGACCCCTCAATCAAATATGACCTCTTTGTTACCAATCATATTATGAATATGTACTGCAAGTGTGGCCAGATGGCTGATGCCCACTACCTGTTTGATCAAATGTCCCAAAGAAATATTGTCTCTTGGACTGCCCTCATTTCGGGATACGCTCAATCTGGCCGTGTGAGAGAATGTTTCACTCTCTTCTCCAGCCTTATGGAGCACTGCCGCCCTAATGAATTTGCTTTTGCAAGTTTGCTTAGTGCTTGTGAGGAGCATGGCATCAATTGTGGCAGGCAGGTACATGCAGTTGCATTGAAAATTTGTTTGGATGCCAATGTATATGTTGCGAATTCTCTTATTACCATGTATTGCAAGTGTTCTGGATACGGTGGAGTTTTTGATGATAAAACAGATGAGGGCTGGACCATTTTTAAGTCAATGGAGTTCCGAAATCTTATTTCTTGGAATTCAATGATTGCAGGATTTCAATCTCGTGGACTTGGCGACCAGGCCATTTGCCTGTTTACACAAATGTATCAGCATGGCATTGGGTTTGACCGTGCCACCCTACTTAGTGTCCTTTCTTCCTTGTCTGAATGCAGTAATACTGATGATATTGGCAGACATCTCTGGAGGTGTTTCCAATTGCATTGTCTCTCTATCAAAAGTGGGTTTATTTCACAAGTTGAAGTGAGAACTACATTGCTCAAATCCTATGCAGATCTTGGCGGGTGCAATTCTGACTGTTATAGGCTCTTCTCTGAAACAAGTTCTTATCAAGATATTGTCTTATGGACTGCTATTATCACAGTGTTTGCAGAACAAGATCCTGAGCATGCCCTTTTTCTCTTCTGCCAAATGCATCGGAATGACTTTGTACTGGATTGGCATGCATTCTCAATTGTCTTAAAGGCTTGTGCAGTCTTTGTTACTGAGCAGCATGCCTTGGCGGTTCACTCGCAAGTAATTAAAAAGGGTTTTCAAGAAGACACTGTAATTGCAAACGCGTTGATCCATGCTTATGCAAGGTGTGGCTCCTTAGTATTCTCTGAACAAGTATTTGATGAGATGGATTGCCACGATTTGGTTTCCTGGAATTCAATGCTCAAATCTTATTCCTTACATGGAAAAGCTAGAGAAGCACTGCAGCTGTTTCAGCAGATGAATGTCAATCCAGATTCTGCAACTTTTGTTGCTCTCCTCTCAGCTTGCAGCCATGCTGGGCTTGTTGAAGAAGGAGTGAAAATATTTAACGCTATGCCTCAAAATTATGGACATGCTCCTCAGCTAGATCACTATGCCTGCATGGTTGACCTTTTTGGACGGGCTGGGCGAATGGTTGAGGCTAATGATTTGATACACAAGATGCCAATGAAACCTGATTCTGTAATCTGGAGTGCATTACTTGGATCTTGCAGAAAGCATGGTGAGGCCCACTTGGCCAAATTAGCAGTTGATAAACTTATGGAGTTAGAGCCTAAAAATTCATTGGGCTATGTGCAAATGTCAAACATATATTCTTCCGCTGGTAGTTTTAATGAAGCTAGCTTGATTAGGAAAGAAATGAGAGGCTCTAGGGTGAGAAAAGAACCTGGATTAAGCTGGATTGAGATTGGAAAGAAGGTTCATGAGTTTGCCTCAGGAGGTCAACGCCATCCACAGAGGGAGCTCATACTCAACAGGCTTGAAATATTGATTAGACAGTTAAAGGAAAAGGGTTATGTGCCAGAGACAAGCGTTGCCTTGTACGACACAGAAGAGGAGAACAAAGAGGAGCAATTGTTCCATCATAGTGAGAAGATGGCATTGGTATTTGCCATAATGAATGAAGGCGGTTTGCCTTATGGTGGTAATGTCATAAAAATTATCAAGAACATTCGTATTTGTGTAGATTGCCATAACTTCATGAAATTAGTATCAGATGCATATCGAAAGGAGATTATTGTGAGAGACTCAAACCGCTTCCACCACTTTAAAGATGCCCGATGCTCGTGTAATGACTATTGGTGACATATTAACGTAATGCCCCATATCTAGTACACTACTTTTTTTAACTGCCCGGTTTCTTATTTGCCATGTACATGATTAACATAGTCATGATTGACTTGTGATTTTTAGAATTTCTAGAAATGGTTATTGAGCTAATGTAAATTGATACTTTTAAGTGTCCTAGCCTGAGGTTTGGGTATATCTTAACTATGATTTCTCCTGAAATATGTAACAACTGTGGTTTTTACCTTTTGCTTTCAAAATCACTAACAGTGATTATTCCTTTTTCTTTCCATTTGTCTAGCTGAATGAACTTTATGTTGTTATCCAGGAGCTGCAAGATATGGGGTACAAGACGCGGGGAAGTTCCATGCTTTTGATGTTTGAAGCATTTGCTTAAGCAGGAAACGTATTTGTGCTGCGGAAGGTATGTCATGGAATGAAAGCTGCAGCTTATTCTCCTGCAAAGAATTTTGGCAGAATAGTTAGAGGACAAGAGAGCTGTTTACCAGAAAATCTAAGATGCTTTGCTGATCCAAAAACGAGGTGGGGAGAAATATGAAACGTTGATTATGTACTGCAGAGATCATTGACTAGACTAAGGTGTGGCACTGGTGCATGAAATAAGTGAGAGGCTTGTTTTGGAACTTAAGCTGGACACATTCTTCATTACAATATTCAGCAAGCAACAATGAACTAGCTGAGGAACTTTTTGAGGAGTCTAGATCAAATAATTATGACCTTAACTGTTGTTTCTTCGGCATAATGATGAGAGTTTTGAGAAATTCGGGGAATCATTGGAAAGCTGGAAATCTATTTGTCCTGGTGAAATAAGCGGGTATTTGAGCCCATAATTGCCACCATGCACTTGCTTATGGCTTCTTATGGAATCTCTAACATCCTGAATGCTCTCTACCCTAAGCCTCTGTTACAGATGCACGTCTCAAACATAAATAAGTTTGGAGACAAAAGGTTCAGGAAGATGAAGGAAATAGTCTTGGAACTAGATCAGCGAATATGGATATGCTTTATCAGAGGTGCGAGCTTATAATGGATGATAACTAAAGCATGCTTGTTCATAAGCTTCTGGGAGAAAAATCCGAATAATTTCAGAGGTGGGCCGACATTAAGAGAAACTAGAACCTCTGGAAGACAATGGAGCTCTAAATTTGGTGAATGCTTTGACGGATCTCTTTTGTGAATTTGAATTTCAGGTCAGCACCTCTCTTGTATATCGTAAAATCACTTTAAAAAGCTAATTCAACCAGCCAGATAGTTTTGTTGGGGGTGAGAAGATGCTGAAACATACTGGATCTGAGGAAGTGGGCAAACCAAAGGAAAAGGGAGAAACTACAGGAGAGGCCAAATTATCTGTGAAAACAAATAACAGTACTGGAGTTGACGCGTAATCTCATCTTTGGGCGCCCAATATATCCCAACAACTTTATTTTTATTTTAAATGAAATGTCTAGTCGGTGTTATTGCCTAGCGTTTACCTCAGGAACTTATAAAAAAAAAAATTATAATTTATTAAAAGAGGGGTAGCTAATATTCTTAAACTATAAAAATAATGTGTATCTTTCTAATTTTACTTGTCGCTAAAGTAAACGACTCCAAGTATTGTTTAGGAATTAAAAATATGGCAACTTATTATAATTAAGGAAGGGTAAGATTAAAAAAATAATTTAATTACCACGTATTTATCTTATATTTAAGACAAAATAGTTTTCAAAAACCATATAATGAGGTGACGATGCAATACATATAGGATGAAGACTCATTTGGCAACCAGAAGTATTTTTGTAGATATGTTTAACGTCCTAAAATTTATTGTAATTTATTCAGCATCTTAAAAAATAGGTATGTCCAAGCTCTAATACCTTTAAAATTGCTGAAACACTACCTCAGAATGTTTGATGCGCATTACTTAACAGTTGAAGAGTTAACAACGAGGTTAAAATTATTTCTAAAAAAATCAATACTTTGAGGATAAAATCACCCCACAAAAGGCCCACATGAAAAAATATTTTTATATGGTCCTTTATACCCCCACACACACACACATATATATGTATATAAACTCTCTTAATCTGCACTGCTTTACTGGATAAATCCTTTCCGGCCAGCGCGGCTGATTGGTCTTATTGACTGATCCCCAACACAGACTTTCTCAGGGGCGTGACTTTTTTCTCTGATGCCAAGCTTTATCGTCTTCGCTTTCAGTTGCTGTGGTTTCCTGTAAAGGACTATGAGGACTCTGAGCCTATCCCTTCCCTCTTCTCCTTCTTCATTCCCCAAAGACTCCAACTTTGAGCGTCTTACTCTCTCTCGCAGTTTCAGTGTCCCACAACTCCACAAAGCCATTTCCACCCTCAACCTCACCCATCGCCACCATGACACACGCCTCCGCCTCCTCGACTCCTCCATTCTCCTCAAAGCATGCATCAGGTCTCGTAATTTTGAGCTTGGGAAGCTCATTCATCGCAAGTTGATCGAGTCTGGACTCGAGATGGACTCGGTTCTTCTCAATTCACTCATCAGCCTCTACTCCAAATGCGGCCAGTGGGAAACTGCGCTTTCTGTATTCCAGAGTATGGGTGATAATAGGAGGGACTTGGTCTCTTGGAGTGCAATGATTTCGTGCTTTGCCATTAATAACATGGAATATGATGCCCTTGTCACTTTTCTTGACATGCTTGAACATGGGCTTTTCCCTAATGAGTATTGCTTTACGGCAGTTATCAGAGCGTGTTCTAATGCTCTGTATGTTTCCATCGGGCATGCAATATTTGGTTTTCTATTAAAGAGTGGGTATTTCGATTCCGATGTGTATGTTGGTTGTGCATTAATTGATATGTTTGCGAAGGGCAGCAGTGATATTGATTCTGCCCGTTTGGTGTTTGAGAAAATGCGGGAGAGAAATGTAGTTACTTGGACCTTGATGATCACACGATTTGCACAGCTGGGCTGCCCTGGAGATGCCACTGATTATTTTTTCAGAACGTTACTAACTGGGTATAAACCAGATAGGTTTACTCTAACCGGTGTTGTATCAGCTTGTGCGGAGTTGGGATCGTTATCACTTGGGCGGCAATTACATTCTTGGGTTGTAAGGTCGGGAATGGCTTCAGATGTGTGCGTGGGTTGTAGTTTGGTCGACATGTATGCAAAATGTTCGGCTGATGGATCAGTGGAACATTCTAGGAAAGTATTTGATCACATGCCAAACCATAATGTTATGTCTTGGACTGCACTTATCACAGGATATGTTCAAGGTAATGGCCAAGATCAGGAAGCCATAAATTTGTTTCATGACATGATTCAGGGTCATGTGGCACCAAATCATTTTACATTTTCTATTGTTCTGAAGGCTTGTGCAAATCTTCCTGATTTACACTTTGGTGAGCAGCTTCATGCCCAAACGGTTAAACTTGGTCTTTCCTCAGTAAATTGTGTAGGAAATTCTCTTGTTAGCATGTATGCTAGGTCTGGAAGAATGGAATGTGCTCGCAAATCCTTTGATATTCTCTTTGAGAAGAATTTGATTTCTTATAACACACTTGTAGATGCCTATGCTAAAAATTTCAATTCCGAAGAAGCCTTTGAATTTTTTCATGAAATCGAACAAACTGGTGTAGGGGCTAATTCCTTTACATTTTCTAGCCTCTTGAGTGGAGCTGCTAGTATTGGTGCAATAGGTAAAGGAGAACAAATTCATGCTCGAGTTCTCAAGTTGGGATTTGGGTCAGACCTCTGCATCAATAATTCTTTAATCTCTATGTACTCTAGGTGTGGAAACATAGAAGCTGCTTTACAAGTTTTTGCTGACATGGGAAATCGCAATGTCATATCTTGGACTTCCATTATAACTGGTTGTGCAAAGCATGGATTTGCTTCAAAAGCATTAGAAATGTTTTATGAGATGCTTGAAGCTAGGGTAATGCCTAATGAGGTCACCTACATTGCAGTTTTATCAGCATGCAGTCATGCAGGTTTGATCAATGAGGGATGGAGGCACTTCAATTCCATGTATGAAATCCACAGTGTTGTCCCAAGAATGGAACATTATGCTTGCATGGTTGATTTGCTGGGCCGATCTGGGTCACTTTCAGAAGCTATTGATTTTATTAACTCAATGCCTTTCAAGGCTGATGCTCTAGTATGGCGTACATTCCTTGGATCTTGTCAGGTTCATGGTAACACTGAGCTTGGGGAGCATGCTGCAAAAATGATCCTTGAGCAGCAACCTCATGATCCTGCTGCCTATGTGCTACTATCAAACCTGTATGCATCAGAAGGACGATGGGAAGATGTTGCAGAAATTAGAAAGAACATGAAGCAGAAAAATTTAACAAAAGAAGCAGGTTGCAGTTGGGTTGAGGTGGAAAACGAGGTGCACAAATTCCATGTAGGGGATACTTCACACCCTGAAGCTGAGAAGATCTATAATGAACTTAATAACTTGGCTTTGAAAATTAAAAAGGTTGGCTATGTCCCTGATACAGATTTTGTCCTTCATGATGTGGAGGATGAGCAGAAGGAACAATATTTGTTTCAACATAGTGAGAAAATTGCAGTAGCTTTTGCTCTTATTGGTATCCCCAAACCAAAGCCTATTAGGGTATTCAAAAACCTTCGGGTTTGTGGGGACTGTCATTCTGCAATCAAGCATATTTCACTTGTAACGGGAAGAGAAATAATTGTCAGAGATGCGAACAGGTTTCATCATATGAAGGATGGGATATGCTCTTGCCGTGATTATTGGTGACTGAGATTGAAGTTACATCCAATTGAACATAGCCTTCTAAAGTGACCTGGACTGACAGATTAGAAAACTAGTAGCCTTTGATTGGTGTCTGTACTGGACTATGCCAGAAAAATTTCAGAATGTATTTTTGACATTCCGAAAAAAGAAAAGAAAATTAAATGTATATAATGCACTTTAGAAAGATGGAGAGAGGCCCAAAAAGAGATGATGAATGTAAAGATCGCATGTGAGTCCGTCAATAAATAGTTTCTATTGTGGCACCTTTTCTATAAATGTAGATAATTTAATTTTTCAAGGTTGAAATCAATTTTGTCCGTTCCTTAGTTAATTCTATAATTTTATTTAGATGTCTTGGGTCTCGCAGTCATACTTTATCGATTTCCTTGATTTCCCTGACTGAAGGCTTTTAGACTCCTGAGAGCTGCAAGTGCTGTTATGCTGAATTTTTGCTGTAGTCTTTATTTGGTTGTGCGCTTCAGTTCCTCTGCTGCATGTGTTGACCACTGAGTTGCACTGAATTTTTGCCGAGTTGTACAGAAAATCTTGAAAGCCAATTCCTGGTAATTCTTAGTTTTTGAACACAAAGCGACAGATTTGTGAACCAGAATTTTGAATGAATGCATTCACTGAATTTTTCTGCTGCAGTTAATTGATTCTGAGATCGCTTTGCTTTTGAAGCTTTTCTGTTTTGACAATTTTGGTCACTTACCATGTGTTTCTTTTCTTTGTTTCCTTTGCTGAGTCCTTACCTTCTGAATTCAAACTGCCACCTTCTGAATTCGCCTTTAAATCCCTTTTGCTGTGGTGCATTGTGCTCGACGGTGTTTCTTTTTTATTTATTTTATACTACTTCTGGTTTTTAATATAAGAGCTTGTTAACTAATTTGAGTAGATTAAGAAAACCAGTTAAGTTAGTTATTTGTAATAAATAGATGTTTTTCCTAAAATATCCTTGCTAATCAAATTTATTGGTTAGAACTACTATTATTACAAGAATTATTTTGAAAAAAAATACTCCTCCGGTCCTTATTATAAGACCCAATTTGACTTTTTATTTGGTCCTAATTATAAGACCCAATTTATTTTCTCTCTTATATTTATACATTTTTTTCCAAGATAATCCTTCTAATAATGATAGTTTTAACCAATATACTTAATTAGCAAGGATATTTTAGGAATAACAACACTTATTTATTATAAATAACCAACTTAACTTACTTCCTTAATCTCCTCAAATAAGTCAATTGGGTCTTATAATTAGGACCGGAGGAATAGATAAATATGAAAGACAAAGTGGATTAGGGTTTTATATCTAGGACAAAAATAAAAGTCAAACAAGATCTTATATTAAGGACCAAAGGTAGTATAATTTAAACTCTCACAAGCATGTCAATGCTAAA